TGGATCAAGATCCAAACCCCTTGGATCTTAAAACAAGGAAAAATTAACCACCACCACCCCCCCTTCCTCCCACCAACTCCTGGTGGATCAAGATCCAAACCCCTTGGATCTTAAAACAAGGAAAAATTAACCACCACCACCCCCCCTTCCTCCCACCAACTCCTGGTGGATCAAGATCCAAACCCCTTGGATCTTAAACACAAGGAAAAATTAATCAGGTTCTAAAAAAGAAGGCTTTTAATTAAAGAAAAAGGTAAAAATCCTCTTTGTAAAATCAGGATGGAAAAATAACTTTACAGGGTAATCAAACTTAAAGAGCTTAGAGGACCCCCCTCTAGCCTTAGGTTCAAAGTACAGCAAACAGAGATAAACACTCTAGTAAAAGGTACATTTACAAGTTGAGAAAACAAAGATAAACTAACACGCCTTGCCTGGCTGTTTACTTACAAGTTTGAAATATGAGAGACTTGTTCAGAAAGATTTGGAGAACCTGGATTGATGTCTGGTCCCTCTTAGTCCCAAGAGCGAACAACTTCCCAAACAAAGAGCACAAACAAAAGCCTTCCCCCCGCCTCAAGATTTGAAAGTATCTTGTCCCCTTATTGGTCCTTTGGGTTAGGTGTCAGCCAGGTTACCTGAGCTTCTTAACCCTTTACAGGGAAAAGGATTTTGGAGTCTCTGGCCAGGAGGGATTTTATAGTACTGTACACCGGAGAGCTGTTACCCTTCCCTTTATAATTATGACAGGTGTGTATGGGGATAGATGGATGGATGGATAGAGGGGTGGATAGAGGGATGTGTGGTGATGGATAGAAGGGTGTGTATGGGGATGGATAGATGGATGGATAGAGGGGTGTGTGGGGATGGATGGATGGATAGAAGGGTGTGTATGGGGATAGATGGATGGATGGATAGAGGGGTGGATAGAGGGGTGTGTGGGGATGGATAGAAGGGTGTGTATGGGGATGGATGGATGGATGGATGGATGGATAGAGGGGTGTGCACTGGGTGGACACGCACACTCAGTGTTCGCACGCTATGGGTGTTGCACTTGCTGTTGGCGGCTGACCCTGCCTGAGCTGCCCCGCAGCTTTGTGGCCACGCTGGCTGACAGGAGCAGGGATGGGCAGAGGGCCCGTGGGTGGCTGGCCCAGCTGGGATCCCAATGCCATCGGTGATCCCGCTGGCACAATGCTGGCATGTTGGCAGAGACAAGAGCCCACAGTACCCTCCCGGTCTCCCACTGCCTCAGAGCAATCAGCCAGACACGGGGGATTCCCCCTGGAGACAAACACGGCAGGGGCCAGACATGTCTCCGCCCCAGGAGCTGTGATTGACACCCCTCGGCACGGCACAACTCAGTGCACTGTCTGCTCCACCGCCAGCTCTCGACACCCCACCCCCGACAGGCCCCAATTCCTCTCCCCCGCACAGATCTGCCAAGGGCCAGCGTCGCGATATGCAGCCAACTCCCAGCTTGACCCATCCTGCACCACATCCGACCTTGCCAGAGCCCCCAGGACTGCCCAGGCGCGGGCGAGACCAGCTCCTGGGGGGAAGAGCAGCTGGCTGAGGCTGAAGCCAAGCGAGCTAGGGGCGGTGCTGGTGAGCAGAGGAATCACGCTGGAGACTCTGGGCCACGAGACAGTCTCCCCCAGTGAATGGTTGATGCCCCAATCAGTCGATTCAATATGGGGCTCGGGAGGCACCAGGCTCCAGAGGGAGGGAGATGGAGTGAGGCCGAACTGGAGAGGATTCAGCGAGAGACACGGAGGAGCTGGAACAGGTGTGCCGGTGCGACCCCAGCTGATGCCCGGGCAAGGACCCCCAGGAAAAGGGGAAAAACCAGCCGAGCCCAGAAACCGGAGTGTTGCTGTGGGAGGGGTAGGACTGCCAGGAGCTCTCTGGGCGAAGAGGTGTGGGAAGATGGGTCACTGCCAGGCAGGGAGCCCTGGGGAACAGGGCTGTGGCCAGGGAACGCAGGACTGCTCCAGACTTGGAGGCCAGGCTCCTGTAGTGGGGAATGGGTTGGACCTTTCAATATTTGCTGTGGGAACTGTGGGAGTTGTGTGCGGAGCGACGGCCTGGGAGTTGATTGATATGTTGCGTTCGGAGGCCAGCTTTGAGTGACTCTTCCTTGCATGGCGGGACAAGGAAGAGAAACTGAGGCTGGAGACGCCTGTCATGCTGCACCCTGCTGCTGGAGGGCACTCTAGGCGAGGTTGCCCTGTCATGATGACCTGGCCGGAGTTATTCACGCCTCCGTCATCTCTCAGCTAGAATACAGCTGCACACCAGAGCAGGGCACAAAGCTTGCAGCACTCAGAGAACCTCAGCTGGTATCGAACGCAGCCACGCACCAGTGAGATGGGCTTCCGCTGGCACATGGAGCTCCTGCCTCTGCCCGAAGGTCCGGGGGAGATCTGGGCGCAGCACCGCCGCTTCTGTGGCCCAAGGACCCCTTCTCCCCAAAGCAGTGTGGACAAATCAAACCAAATGCTGCCCAACCCAGCCCCTCCGCAGTGCATGCAGCCCCCGCCCTCCTGCCGCCTGGGGAAAGGTGAGAGAGAGCGGACCACACATGACAGATGCCAGCCACATCACCTGCTGCACGACTGACTGGCACTCAGATGAGGCAGGATACCAACCCATCTGGAACAAAATAGAATTACAAGTCCCAGTTCCTTCCTGGCCTGGCATTTGCCCCTTTGATTTTGCCCATCAGTAACACATGTTACCTGGCAGTACCTGAAGAGCTTTGTGTGCTTTTCCCACCTTCAGTTTGGCGCTGTGTCCCCAGCCTGTGCTGACAGTTCCCCTTCCATGCGCCCAGACCAGAGGGGGGCGTAGATACAGGTTAGCTGATCTCTGCAGTTCCCAGGCCTCCTGATTCAGCGCATTGTTAGACCCACCAGGACCCCCTGCCACTCCCTTTGGCACGGGCCACACTGCCGAGGCTACAGTTTTGGCCGCAGGCTTTCTCAGTCCGGGCCGGGAATGGCTGACACTTGGCCGTCACGGCTTTCTGGTGGGCCCAGGAGGGCATCACAGTGCAAACACAAACGCCGGCTTACAGGGGAATTTGCAGCCATGTCTAATAGACACCCCCCCACACACACACGCTCACACTCGTGCACATGGACCCAGATGCAGATTCAGACCTACCTGACAGACACACACTGTCTTGCAGAACCGCCTGGTGATAAAACCAACCAGGCTCTACAGCAGTCAAGTCAAGGTCTACGAGACACCTCTGATTCACACCTGCTGAGCACCTGCTGCTCCTGCTGGGGTGGTGGATGCTGAGTCCTTCTGAGCAGGCCCGCCGGCTTGCACACCCCAGAATCAGCCGCTACTTTGGAAACGGCTACCCATAATTTGCATGGCTGTTCTCAACTAACATATAGAGCTGAATAGAGAATCGTCTCCCTGTTATCAAATTCTGTAGGGGGCGTATAAACCGGCTGCCTGTGTCCATGCAATTCGCTGAGCCTTCACCATCTTCCCCAGCTGCCAGTTCTGGGAATGTGACCACACGCCTCACCGTATGGCTACGATTCTGTGATAAGGGGGTTTCCTAAAGCCCCAGCTCCTGGAGTCAGGTGATTAGGGGGCAAATCTCTGCTTGCGTTGCAGCAGGGCAGCTGGCAGCTGTGGACTTTCCCCAGGGTCGTTGCTGGTTGTGGCACCACTCACAACTGTTCAAACAAAGCAGAGAGGGCAGCCAAGGCCTGGCTGGCTCCAGGGCTGCCCGCAGCTTCTGAAAAGCCAATTTTCCATTGACCGAGAGAGGTGGGAGGTCCCTGCAGCCAGGGAGGGGAAATGACCCAGGAGGGCCGCTTTCCAGGGCGCCTCCTGCCATCCTGCG